ACCAAGCCTTCTCCTCCGGGAACGGTAAATTGGTACCAGATTCGTCTGGGAGGATAAAACACTGACTTGTACATCGGCTGGCCACCGCAAGTCATTGTATAGGCCACATCGCATTCAATAAGCCACTACGATTCTGAATGGAAGTAGAATGCGTGCCGCATCCCAAAGGATTGATCAACGGCGAAGACTTTATCCTTTTATCCCTTTATGGTCGTAATTCTGCGACGCAGTTCCAGGAGGCGTGTGGGTGACCCATCCGCGGCTGCGTCTCCTCCCAATAGTGTCCGATAGAAGAAAAGAACCACTGCTAGAAAAAAACCGTGGCTCATCCCACGCCTCCTGGCACCGCCCTGCTGGACTGGGACGGTATCGAAAGTATTTATGTTCAAAAGGGGGTGCCAGACTGAGGTAACATTGCATTCAAAATCTCTGCGGGAAAATTAAAATTGCCAATTTGGTTTATGGAACCGTACACTTTCTCTTCGAAGTGACCGTTCACGACTTTTACCATTGGTCTAGTATAAGAAGTTTCCCATCCAGTCAAAAGATCACTTTTCCGGCTCTGCATCCAGCTATGTATTCTGTACACCCTCCTTCAATTTCATGTAGCCATTCAAATCGGTGGACCTGCAGAATGTTTTCAAGAGATGGGAACGATAAGCACAAGAAGCAAAATCTGGAATGTGGGCGTGATTCTGCAGTACTTTGGCTCTATTCAGACATCGACTCTCTTATTAAACGTTTTGTGGATGGCAGGATCCAAAAAAGGCGTATTCTCGGTCTCAAGATAATAAAGTGAAGAAGCGTAAAATGATTTCTCCTTGGAGTGTCTCGAGACCTTCGAACTAGCCATCCGTAAATAGTAATGTTCCATGCTTGGCTACCCATCTTAGAAGCACAGATTCTTTCGAATCGAGTGATTTGCAGTCTTGCGTGAAGCGCCATCTACACTACCCCTGCGCACGGTTGACCTCAGTTGAAGCTCAGCCCAAGGAGCCACGTCTCCTTTTTTGCCGCGAAATTCGTGTTTTCAGTACATTTGTGAGAAGCACTTCCGTGGAGAATATCAAGGCAAGTCGATGTTCACCGGCCTCAGGGCTCAAAACCATTTCGGTCGCCCAAATTTCGATGCATTCTTCTCCTACATCCAGAGTGTTCATAACGAGGTCAGTAGGCTACATTATTGCCAGCACTGTTTATTCACATGTATCCAACTTGCTTGTATGGCTAATTTTTATGTTGCCAAGTTAAGGTGTCCGACATTGGAGTGTTCAGTTGCGGTCCGTCGAAGCTCAATGGCCAAATCAGCTCTGCTTGTGCTCGAGCAAATCGAGCTCTTGGCGCGCCGTCATTTATGCACCGATTCGAGACTTTCTAACCTCATACCACAGTTGTATAAAGCGAATTTTCGGAGCAATTCAATTTACCTCGAAAAAGAAAACCATTAGTGTCGTGCAGCCGCAACTGTACTGGCTTCATCTATCTCCGAATATACGGTGGCTGAAAAGTAATGCAAGTTACACACTTCAAGAGAGCATAAAACGACGAAAATTCCTCATAAATAAGAAGGTGTCTTCCGTCAACCTCTGCTTTTTTCATCGAAACCTAGTTTTCAAGTGAGTCAAGGACGTTTTTTGGTCAAGTATGTCAAGCAGCCGATCGCAGCTCCTTGTCATTGCTTAATTTACCTCCTCAACGGCACTGCTTCTGGTTGCTGAACAGAAAGTAATGAGTGAAGGCAGCTCTGGGATGTAGATTAGGTAATAAGTTACCCGATTTTTGCATTTCTGAGGTGCAACCTTTGCGATATGGGAAATGCGAGCTGTAGATCGACCTCCACCGAACTGTCGAAGTGTCGGAGCAAGTCGGCACGATTTTTGCCCGTCATCGATGTGGTTCGTAGCAGGCAATCGACCAACAGGACTCCAGCTCCATCCCAGAGGTGGCTCCAAACAGCCTACTACTCACTCGTGACTTCACGAAGATCTTGAATAGCTTTGAAGAACAGGCATATTCCTTTGAAGAGCTTTATTGATAAGACTGTCCTCGCAATTGCACTCATACTTCACTCACTGACTCGTTAACTCAGAGATGAAGTTTAAACATGGGATGCGTCCTCCTCTCGTGGAATGTTTCCGTTTGAGATAGCTATCACCCTATCCTATGACGGTTGAAGACTCAACGGCAACTGTCCCAAAAGGAAAATATCCTCACAGGAAGCACAACCGCCCCCACTCCTAATGAATACGCTGCCGCTCTCTCTACAGCTTCGGAAAATTGGGAGTGTATCGGTCGCACACCTCTGTTCATCGTTCGAAGAACTTTTTTGCAATGCATAACGCGACTATTTGTCCAAACGGTGAAAGAATTTCGGGGAACAAACGTGCTGCCATCCGCGCAATCCGAAATATGGAAGATCCTGTCAATCGGCATGAAATGCTCACTCTCCGCCTGGTTTTCCTTGTAGAAGCATCAGTTCGGGTGTACCAACAACTTTTGTCCAGGTGCAAATTCGTCCACTAGAATCACTTCTACAGTTCGACCCAGTCCTTGCCCAGCTAATCTTCCTTTCGCTACGGGTCTCCACGACTTACCCGTTACTTCGCGAAAGGGCGTGGTAGATATCCAGCAGCGGTCCATAAATTATCTTCGCTTCTGATGTACTTGCGAAATGAAAATTCAACAACCGTTCGTAGCTCAACATCTGCGGCGTCTCATTTCCAAAGGAAAAGATCGCTATATTCGAAGACCTAAGGGCGTTTCTCACTTCCTTTAGATTTCCCATGCGATCATGAAAGACGTGAATGTATGCAGGTATGACCTCTTTTGATATGGGCACGAAGAGAACACCTGCGAATTCCTTCAATGGAACAACTTATAGCTTTGGATTAAAGGCACATCTGTTTAGGTGAACAAAATGCTTGTCCAAATCATGTAGTTAATTTGAAGGCAGAAAAAAATTAAATTAAATTAAATTAATTGATTAAATCAGGGCTAGAACCTCTTCAAAGCGCATGATGACCAAGTATGCAACCGCAAAGGGTGTACTGCATTCAAAATGTTAAAACTGGCAAGCAAAGCGCAGGGCGCTCAGGTCTAGGCCCATGGGGCCTAATTGGCCCAGGCCTGCCTAGTTTGCTCGTGTCATCGAGACGATGCCATTGTGTTACCTCGCCCGCCGTTTCTGGTCTCTCGCTTCTGTGGTCAGCGTATAGTCGCCTTTGACAAACCACAGAAGTTGGTCTTGACCATCCTGTGCTCGTCCGGTGATCACGTCAATGCAATAGAGAGGGTCTTATTGCGGGCGATCTTCCCTGCTTTCTTCTTCTTCACTAA